ACTTTTACTGATACATTCTTCTTCTAGCCAATCCTTTATTCTTCTGGTTTATTTCTTTATTTCTTAAACAGATTAACTGAAGTGATAGTCTTTGTTTGCATGTACAAACTTGACCAATAAAGTTGATTCTAATTCTAAATTACTATAAAATGTCATTATTTTCTTTAGGCAGATGTGTTCTTTGTCTTGTTGTTATTCGTGTGTTTGGATAGACCTAATAGTTTTAACTACATCTGAGGATAGGGAACATTACAGGAATCTAGCTATCTCTAGCTATCACTATTTTGGAGATCAAGTGCCAAAAAGCTTGACAATTGACAAACTTTGACTCACAGTTGACTTGGGTGGGACCAAACAAAGAATGTGGCCTTGGTGTTTTCTCAAAATAAAGCGAATGATATTGTTTTGCCTAACTAGCAGGTCTGCCTCACTGCACAATCCAAAGCCTATCCCAGCTGACTTAGGGCGAAGGCAGCCCTGTGAGCCCAGGTCTACACTTAGAGACAGATAAGCAAGCACACTCACATTCACACCTGCAGACGATTTAGGATTGCCAATTAAACTCAACATGTTTTTTGACTTGTTGAAGGAAGCCGGAGAATCCGGAGAGAACCCACACTGCACAGGGAGAACATGCAAACTCCATGCATAAAGATCCCGGTGCCCCCACTGGGATGTGAACCAGCGACCTTCTTGCTGAGAGGCAACAGTGCTAACCAACTGCGCCACCTTGCAGCTTGAAGTGTGTTTTGAAAATGGTATCATGCAGACAGTGGTAGGGAAGGACCAAGTCAGCTGAAATAAGCGGCTAATGACATCGTACACCCTGCGAGTCAGACTACAGTTAAAGAGATGATAAAGCAGTGTATGTTTTAGGGCAGGACAACTTTATGATTGTTCTCTGTCAGATCCACCCCTCCTTTGCCTTATCCAAATCCTAAAAGTCAAGATGGCAATGGCAAAAATAAGAGCTTGAGGCTTCAAAATGGTCCACAAACCAATGGGTGACATCACTGTCACGACTTCCATCTTTTATATACAGTCTATGGTTGACGGTAAAAATGACCAGACAGTTGAGACTCTGCAGTAGTCTTCTTTGCAATAACACACATTAGCAAAACCATTTCCTGTGCAAACCTGTTTGCCACAATCATCATTTTCTAATGGATGAATGTATCGAGTAGTTATTTTTGAAGATTAATCTGGACATGCCAGACAGGAAGAGAACATGTAACTGTATGAAACTAATCACATTGTGTAGTAGGTTTTTCTGATTCAACCAGCATAAACATACATTCAGACCTAGGATATTCTCATTCATTATTAGAACCGATACATGCTGAGTGTAATTTTAGCATCAATACAAACCCAGATACAGAAACTGCTTGTATCTCGTTGCAGGACCGCTTCTGTATTGATCCGCCAGAACATGTCGAGACAAAACGCTGCTTTCAGATGTACCATCTAAATAGCTATCAGCTACACTTCCTGCACACTTCCTGGCTGTTTGTTTGCGCTCATGTGTTTGGAAGAGGCGAGGTGCGTGCAATTGTGTGTTTTTTTCACCCCGGCGTGTCTATGAGGCTTAGCCGTGAAATCAATCCCATTCCACACACCCTGACCTCCAAATGAAAACACCCTCCGGCCCGCCACTGCATCCACCCGACTCTTTAAAAGAGTTTTCATATCTTTGTGCCGTCTTGCCTCATTCCCACATCCCCCCGTGAACATAAACACAGCGAGGGCAGGGGCAGGGAACAGAGTGAAGGTGGCTACTGGAATCTTTTGCACAACTTGGCGGTCACAAGAGTGTTATGAATCTTTAATGCGAGATGTTAGCACGGCAAGGAGAGGAAATGTGCTGAAAACATGATTATGGACTCATGGGGAGGAGAAAACCGTTGGCCGGGAGAGAAAGAGATAGAGATATCAAGCGAGGGAGCAAGGATAAAAGAATTTTGAAGGGCAAAGAAGGTAAAGAGGGATAACATTTTTCTATTTTTTATTTTTTTTTTGTCAAGCTTATGCCGCTTAAGGCAAAGGCATTTTTCCACAGCTTAACGGAACCGAGTTGTGACCAGAGCTGCTCACAGAGCTGCTCACAGAGCCGACGGTGTATGACAGTAAATACAGTATTGTGTGCTTTAGAGCAGCTTTAGAGTTGCATCATTTGGTTTGACAGCAGCATTTTTCGCGAGAGGCAGAAATAAAGCAGAGCAGGGGGCTTTGGACGAGGATGTCAAGATGGACTCAAGGGCCTAATGGCAGTAAGGTTGAGGGCGATAGTGTGATTTCAGTCTGACTGCGAGACAAAATAACTGAACTTTAGGCGGACCGAGCTGTTTAGTCTGTCACCCCCTTGATGCAAAAATAAATCCTGCATCTCCCTGTCTGCCATCTTTGTCTCCTGGAGTTGAAGTTTATATAAATCCGTCCGCCTGCAGGTGTTCTTGTGGGCCTCAGAAGATTCCCTTTTGCCCACCATGTGAAGGTGCATCGTTGTCACCTGTAACACTACAACACAGACTGACAATACTGTGCTACAAAAGGTATTCACCTCTCTTGGAAGTTGAATTCTTTTAATACTTTTCAGCATTGAATCGAGGTCAATATAATTAGGTTATTTTATTAAATTTACAACTAAAGTGTCTTGAAAACAGTCATGAAAACAGTGTTCCTTTCGCTTCATGATGTAGTTACAGCCAGGAGTACTGATTCACCAGTGACTTTCCAGATACAGGTGTCTTTATACACTGATATCAGTTTCACTAACTGTGTGACGTGTCGAATTAGGTGAGTTATGTATTATTTTCGGTTTTATATTTTTAATTAATTGACACTAATTTGAAGAAATCTATTTTCACTTTGACATGAAAGAGTCTTCTTTGGTAAATTCTTTTGTCTAAAGATAAAGGGACCATGATTCAGTGTTGAAAAGCAGTAAACGGGGAAAACATCCTAGGAAGATGAAATACATTTTATATGCACTGTTGCTGCTTTCAAGCCAGAAAAATAGAGTTTGCTAAGGTGAGCAGGGGCATCAGAAATTCAAGTTGTAGAGGCTTCACTGCTTGCATCTGTATTATGAGACACGTATTTTTTTTTTTTAGATGTTTTCTTTAATCTCACTTGTTTCTACCTAAATGTGAGCAATTGTAACACAACCTAACCCCCCTTGAGGATCAATAATGTATTCTGGTTCTGCTATTTTATTATTTGTACTTGAAGTCATGTTAATTAAGAAGTTGGTCTGATATTATTTAGGTCTCCCATAATAATCAGGACTTGGACACAGGATCTCTGCGGGTGTCCTGTGGGTTTTGTGGGTTTGGGGTCTTCATGGATCGGGCTCATTCTGCTGCATTCCACACATCACACTGTGTTCTGAGGAATTTTGAAGCCGAGTTGATTCCTTTCCTGATCAATTTTTGGGTGTGGTGACCTGCTGGGGGAGGGCGCTGCCTTAAAGGGGGCGTTGATTATGTGCCAATGATTAAGTAGGTGGTATGTGCCAAAATAACATCAGAATAAATGTCAGGAGGTCAAGGTTTCCAAGCAATTTCCCACAATTGCATTGTAACAGGACAATCTATGCTATTCACCTCACCTGCTAGTGGCTTTATTGTTGCAGCTATATTAATACCTTATAGTGATTATATATTATTTATTTTATTTTTTGTTGTTGTATTGTTGTAACCTTTGTTACTGCCCTCTTGGCCAGGGCTCCCTCGCAAAAGAGATGTCAACCTCAATGGGACTAACCTGGTTAAATAAAGGGTAAATAAAAATAAATTTAATTTTAAAAAAAGTCTATTTTTATGTCATTTATCGATGGTGGCACTGGAGATATTATGTGTGAACGTTGTGGCATCATATACAAACAATTCTATCTTAAAATAAAGCAAAGTCTTTCAAGTTTGTTCATATAATTTGCTCGGTTTTGGAAATTATATATTTGAAATAACTGAAATCGAAAATTCCTAAAACATTCACTTCTATAAGCTGCTTCTTCCTAAAATAAGAAAAAAAACGACCTTCTTACTCTTCACACTCCAAAACAAAAGGAAATTTAAGAAAGTCATATGATCTTGTTTCGGGGTGATTAAATCTTCTTTTGTGCAGTCAAATACAGATAATATTGTCAAGCACCAAATACACTCGGTTATTAGACGTGTTTCAAGATGACAGCTCTTGATTTGGATTTTTGAGGTATTCAATCTATTTTTCAGCTCAAGCTGACAAGAAACAACCCAGACTGGTGGATTTCACCAGTGCTCGACAAGATTAGTCTTGACAATCACGCTGAAATAAGATATCTCAACTTTCTTTTTTTGCAACGCTGCGTGTCAAGAAATGGTCTGAACTTTGGACAGACTCTGGCAACATGTTTCTGCCACCTCTTAGCTTTTTATCAAAGACAATTTAACACAATGGATTCGATGTTTTCTTCTAACTCTCAGCAAAAAAAAAAAAAAAAGAGGAGAATTTGTGTATTTTCCAAAATGTCAAACTGGGCTTTCCCAAATAGTTTGAAGGCATCGTAATTTTATTGTATGTAAACTTCTGACTTTGAAGAAAGTAATAAAGAAATTCTCTAAAAAAAATCCTCTCACTCATGATTCTGGCTTTTAGCAAATATAAATATTATTTTAATAATCCTACTGGACCTAAAACAGGAAGGGTTTAGTCTGATTTAACAGACGATGAGAAATGAAAGGTTATGTGTATTTTTTATACACCTTCAGCTTCTGTCTCTTTTTGTTCTATCACAAACTCACTGTACTCCATTTCCATATCTGACACAGTATATAGTATGATACAGTATATTTCAACTGACAGTAAAAGTTGGTGCTCCATCAACATGCTTCATTTGAGTCATTTTTCTTTGCCGTGGCAGTTTAAACAGACAGACGTCGGCTCTATATCATTAGATGAATGAGGCGCTCTTCTCCATGTCACAACAACACGTTTAAGACTCTCCTCCTCTCTCTTTGTCACAGCTTTGATATCGGCCGGCTGCTGCACCAACAACTGTCGAAATGTCAAGCTATGGGACAGGTAAGAACCCCTCTCCACCTTGTTTCTTTTGCATAAACCTCTTCTGCGTTAATTAGAATCTTTGAAAGAAGAAGAACAGCCAATGAAGGTCATTGTCTGTTCTTTCCACAAGGGCCCATAATCCTGTAATTAGCTCCCATTATTCTATTTTACCATACAGCACGCTTCCTTCAGCGGCAGTCTCGAAGCCTATTTACATTTTGTTGGGTTAGAGGGATTCACATTAGAAGGATTTACATTAAATAATGAGATCTCTTTGTCAGGGGTGCGTAAAATATAGGAATATTTAGATTCTTGGTAATCAGTAGGTGATCAGTGAAATGTATTCTGTTGTGATCCAGTGTCATTGCTGGGTTGTTCCATGAGTTTGTCCGGTGTGCCGCCTCCAGATGAGTAATGTGGTTGCATGCTTAGTCTGGCCCAGGTGTAATCACAGTGGGTTTACAGTGGGACTATAGAGTTAGAGGTGACTCTATCCTGTCCCCTTATGCCATCCTACATCTTCAATCAGGCCCCAGCGGGAGGCCGAGATGGCTGTGTTAATATTTAATGACTGCAAGACAAGACATACCTCCCCCTGGAGGACAGCCGTGCCCCCCTCGGCCACTCCTGCAAACGGCATGCAACCACATACGATTGAATGCCGCACAAATGCCAGTTGTTCTGCCACATGTTGATGACTTATTCTAACACACACAGCAGAGAGTCTTTCTCCTTTTCTTTCACATGAGTATTTTCAATCCGTCACCCGTTCTGTGCCTTGGCCCACTCCCACTTACCTCCTACAAAAATATCAATGACTCAGGTGAAGAAAAGAAGAAAGTGTACTTTGTGTCAGTAGATGATTTGCGAGCTCAGAGAAACGCAACAAGGATGTGCTAACATTGCAGACTGAAGTCAGGTCCTGTGGTCGTCCCTCGGCTCGCTGGAGACAGACGCAGGCAGGAACAAAAGGATCTGTCACTGATAACCAACACAAAAGGCTGCAGAGACGAACATCTTACTTGCTCAAACTCTGTCTCGCTTGCTTTTGTTTCTCTCCACAGACTTGTATGTTTTCATCTACCTATCCATTTGTGAAACGAGGTGACAGGCTGTAGCCAATTGCTGCATTGATGCTTAATAAATCATTGGCTAAGGATTTAGAATTCAGTAACAAGCAAAGATTATCTTCTGGTTTGCCAGACTAAAAACCAAATGGTTGGTGTTTATGAGAATTATGAGCATTAGCACAAAAATATTTGTATTGTCAGCTAATTAACATTTACAGCTTCAGACTTCACTGTCAAAATCTATCTTTTTTTTTTTTTTGAAGTAGATTTTCTTTTAAGTTGAAGTGCTATTTTACAGATTTTCCCAATTTTGCTAAATTACAGACAATAACGAGTCATATATATATATATATTTACAAACGGTAGCTACAATCCTTGAGTTTAAAATGACATTTTACTGTATTTAAATCAGCAGAAATAATAGTACTTTACAGATGTTTGCCAATATTAGAAAGTAAATTATATTTAACTGTTACTTTACATGTTTTCTCTGTTTTGTCAAAATGCAAATATCTGGCAAGAACACATTAAAAAACATGCATTGAGACTGTTCAAAAAAAGAGCCAAAATTTTACATGATACATCAAAAATCTGCAATTGTTCTTTTACAGCATGTGACAATAAAATGACTTTGTTACTGTTTTACTTATTTAAATCTGCTAAAAAGTGTGGTTATTATTTGCTGTTATTTTGATGGAATTTTTTTTTACAGATTTTCTTTGGCACCCTTTCTGTTTTTTTACAGTGTACCTTCAAGGTTAAGCTTATAATTTGTGTTCTGATTAGAGATCTGGACTCATCCAGCAGGATAATGTAGATGAATCAGACTTTTTCTACAGAATATGTATTGACAGGTCACATCAGGCAATGTGGGGGTAAAATGAATAATGTCTGACTTCTATTTAGCTGCTTCAGGGTCCTCAGTGAAGTGTGAGTTGTTGCTCGCTGTGACGCTATCGTGGCTTACTGGGACACTTAGACGGGCAGAACAGAGCCATCATTAATGTTATTAGTGACTTCTGTGCTTTTCCTTCCACAACAAGGTAAAAGTCTGCAGTGAATAAGATTTGTTAGAGAATCAGGGTGTAAAAATATCTGCTTGCATCACTACAGACTGAGTAATGTTCACATCCCATTTAAAAATTACAAGCAGTTTACAGCCCCTTCTCAGTTTTAATGCAAAATCTTATCTAATAACCTGCAAGCATCTGGAGAGATAGATGGATTTGGGTTTTGTTATATTACAAATAGTAATTAGTAAATATATATATGAGGAAGAAAATTAAGAAAAAATAAAACAAATAATGTAAGCTGAATATAAAATAAACTAAAGTCACTATACATAAAATAAATAAGCCACTGTACATAAATACTGTAAGAGTTTGGACAGAGAGCCTAATAAAGTGCACTTTATATTATATATAAGATGTTATATTGCACCTTATATATTGCACATAAGTTTATCTGACCTATGACTATACTGTTAATAGAAAGGGTCTTGTATCCAGAAGCATTATGGTTGTCACTGTTGTTATCTGATGCTGATATATTTGTACAATCTAGTATCCACTGAGAATTAGACAAGAAACCAGTTAAAAAAAAAAACAGCTGCAACAACCTACAAAACTACTTCAAACCAAACTTATAGGTGATTAGATCAATCAGGGAACAACAATGCCATCCAAAGTCAACAAAGCTCTGTTCTTCTCTTTTCCTGTGCAGCTTTGATGCTTCCTCTTGACCCCAACTGTGCCGCCCACGCCTCTCCAAGGGAGGAGGGGTTGCAGTGGGAACGGCCTCCTGCGTCTCTGGCCTTGGCAGACATGGGGACCCCTGGAAGCCAGCTTCCACGACCCCAGACGGTCTGTAGTCCGCGGCCTCATCCATGTCCACAACCCTTTAAACAGCCTGCCTCCATGTTTTTGTTTCGACATATCGAGAGTTTGAGCGGACAGGGGTGGAGATTATTTTGGGAGACGCTGGTCAGTAAAACTCTGGATGTGAGTGGATGTGTGTCCCTGCCAACTGTGACATGGCTACCTCCTGGAGACACAGGGAGGGACGCTGTGGAGTGGGGATGAAGAAACGAAGAGGACATTGCACTGTGTGTGCTGCTACCCTCTGTTTACAAACGTAGGTCACTGGTGGAGAAGCACATAAAACTTTCTACACCCCCTGCCATTCGAAATCATAATCATTTTCCTACGCTCTTGCCTCTTCTTCCTATCTCTCTCCGGGATTTTCTCCTCTTTCCTTCGTCATTAGAGATCTATCATCAAATTGTGTAACGAGACTGGTGTAATCTAACATTCTGTCTCCAAAAATCCACATGATTACATGAGCGTCTCCTCCACCTTCCTCGTACAAAGATCCACAACTTTTAACAGCCATTTCAACTGAAAACAAAAACATATTTGTCAAAGATGTTCTAGCAAAGAAAAAAAAACAAAAAAACAACCTCTTCCTGTGTCTTAAACCGAGATGGTCAACATTACTAGCTGCTGACAGATGTTCTAGTTCTATGAGATGCAATGTTCAGGTGTAATTTTTCTTTTTTGTATTATCTTCTTTGCTCCCTTAAAGCGCCTATATTGAAGCTGGGGAGAAGATTATACATTTCTCCATGTTGTTTTCTACAAGGAAGTAAAGTCCAAGTAAAAAGTAGATTATTGGATTAGTTTTCTATATATCTATATATACAAATATAATATGATTATTATTTTTGACTTACTGGTATTAGAACTATTATATGAAAATGCATATGATATATATCAAATAATAAACAGACTTCTTTATCTAAAAGTGCATTGTTTATTCAAGTTTTATTCCAGAGCGTTGAAATGACTTGAAGGTGACTCCATACTGACCTTTGATCCTGCAGCTAAAGGTCACATCGGACATGTTGTGAAGCCAATTATAAGGTTCGAAACAAATCTATAAGTCTCATGAAGCAGCAGGGACAAAAACAAGTTGCTGGAAGATAACAGTAAAATGAAACCCTTTCCCATCCCCCAAGTGTATAATGACAAGAAGTTGAATCAATCAGCAAAAACACATGCAGACCACCGTGTTAAGCCCCTCATATGAAGCCTGATCTCATCCCGACAGATGGGCAACAATAGCGTCAAACTGGACAGAAGTTCCTGTTAAATCAGTGGAACTCCAACAGCCAGTTCTTCCTTCCTTGACACCCACTGCTTTTTCCTCATATCCTGCAACATCTGCTTCACTAATAAGGATTTCCGACACTGCGGTGCGTAGGTCTGTGTTTACCCTTTATGCAAACGACAATATTTTCTATTTTGCTCATCGTCAGCAAAACCGCCAAAACCAATAATTTCCGGTCCATCTCTCAAAACTTTCAGTCCTCTCTGTCTGTGACACTCAAAAACATGAGTTTGTACTTAAGATGTCAATCTTTAAAAATGACGCACAGCCCAACAATTTCCTAAAACATCAATGTACTGTAGTTTTTTTTTTTTGTTTTTTTTTGCAAATGTTACTCAAACAGCAGAAAAAGTCAACATTTATTGGGGACTGCTTTCAGTTTTGGATTAATTTGCATTTAGAGTAAGTATAGGAACAGAAGATCGAAGGGAATAAACAGCCAGTGTCATTCACTGCTGTGTTTTTTGCAATTTTGACCACAATGGAGCACTATTTAAATATATCAGACACAATACTTCTTAGAGGAATTAATTCAGTGTTTACATGTAATTTATTGACAAAAAGCCTTATTCTTTGACATTAGTATCAGAGTGAGGCATTTAAGTCAAGGTCAGATAAGGTCACTTATGGCTGCACCTCCAGGAAATGTGTGAAGGTCAGTGAAAGGTTGTAAATACAAAACTGTGTTTGGTCGCCAACTGGGTTTACTAGTTCACCCAAAGTGCAAAAGAAAATAAACTGATGCTGATCTGGTTTGATCTGATTGCTCAGAGTCATTAGGGTTTACTTATTTTGCTACAGAAAATCCCTTTAATGAGGCTCTGTGCTGTGCTGGTGTTTAAATCGCATGTCTTAGAGCTGCTGTTGCATATTCTCCTCCTATGGGGGACCTATAGTGGCTGACGGAATCGAATCATTGCTTTATCTGTAATGCAATAAGAGCAGTGCGTGGAGAAAAAAACAACTGACAAGTGTATTATTTTTTCATGTATATAACTGTGTGTGCTGCAGATGTACAGTAATACAAATGTTCTAATATCTACTTCATTGATGCCATTAGTCTGTCAGGATGTGCTTGTTAAGAGTTTATAGGTTTTCCATCTCTTATTTCTACTCTGCAGTTCACGTGTCTGTGTGTATATCCACAAGCACCCTGTGTCATTGTTCATGTGTGAATTTATGAAAGAATGTGGTAGTAACAGTGTGAGTAAATGCTTGTGTGTGTACTGTTCATTATGCACAGTCATGTGAGTGGTGTGTGTGCGCGTGTCAGCCAGGCAGCAGCAGGTTGATTAGGAAACACCTCTGCCTGCTTAACCAGGAAGATGAAGTGTGTGTGTTTATATTGATTTGTGTGCATCTGCGAATGTTGCGCCATTTCATGATCTAACGCTGCAGTTTATGTGTTTGTGTATGTGTGTGGGTGAGAGCATGCAGCGCCCTGATCTGCTCTGCTGCATTGCAGCACGTCCTGCCCATCCCGAGGTCGCTGTCGTCCTCCGCCAGGGCACTCTTCCAAGGTCGCAGCAGGTCAATCCTCCCCATCTGCATACCCAGCCGCTGCAAGGGTAAATCTATAAACACCACACCAAATCTGTCTGTTAGAGCAAACGAGATGCCATAAGAACCAGAGCCGGAGATAGCCGACTCAGGCTGTGTGGTGGCAGTAATCTATCAACACGCAGATCAGACATGTAATCTACCCAGATGACCAGTCGATCAAGAGGGAAAAACCTATCATACAAGATGAACTACTGCAGCACACACATTCCACATGCAAATACATGCAGCTGAAGTCAGATATGGTGACACTTTGACTGGGGAGCTGTTAGCCGGGTGGAGTTTACTGTCCATCTGGGGCAGATGAAGACTTTTATGGGAGCTGTCAACAGGCGAGTGAAGGCAAGGCTTTATGACCAAAAATGTCCTGGTCTTAATTTATGATGACAGAAGGACATTATTGCTTCATATGTCACTAACTGCTATAACATGTAGAGAAAATGGAAATAAACACCAGTGAGCGCTTGAAAACAGAAAGAAACACGATAAAAATGTGTGAATGTGCAAAACAAAGACCCTCCTTGGTGGGTTGACTGTTCTGCTGTAAAGGAAAAATCTAAGTTCAAGGACAGCATCAAGCAAAGGAAACAAGTATTTGTACAGCGTGTACACAATAGCTCGAAACATGATAACATTGTGGTAGAAATACAGATAATGTGTCTTCAAGGATACTGTCAGTAGTGGTATTAGTGTAAAAATCAGGTGAGCTGCACTTTCAGTAACCGACAAGTAAGCACATGTAAAACAGTGTAGAGTAGAACACCAGGGCTGTAGCAAACTGCCTAATTCATGTTCTTTTATTGTGCAAACAGTAGCAAATGGATAGACTCAAAGTGGACAAAGACATGATTCAAATGGATATATATATTTAACCTCAACCAGGTTTGCAAGTGGGGGCTGCAAGGTGGCTCATTGGTTCGCACCGTTGCCTCACGGCCAGAAGATCCCCGGTTTGCGTTAGGATGCCCAGCATCTTTCTGTGTGGAGTTTACATGTTCTCCCTGTGCAGTTTGGGTTCTCTCTGGGTTCTCCGGCTTTCTTACACAGTCCAAAAACATGTTGAGGTTAATTGGTGATTCTAAATTGACCGTAGGTGTGAATGTGAGTGTGTTTGTTTGTCTGTCTCTAAGTGTTGCCCTGTGATAGACTGGCGATCTGTCCAGGGTGTCCCCTGCTTTCACCCTAAGTCAGCTGGGATAGACTCCACGACCCTAGTGAGGATTAAGCGGTGTATAGGTAATGGATGGATGGAGGTTTACAGTTGTCATCAGATAATTGATGTTTCAAATATACTGGATGATAAATCTAAGGGTCGGAGTTGACATAGTCAGTGTCTAAGTACCACACCTCAACAACATGCCACAAACAACACAAGCCTGTCATAAGGTACACAAAAGTGTACAACAAGATGACAGCACCAAGGAAACATGTCAAATCAAGCAATTCATTATGTCAGACAGCTAACATGTCAGAAACGAAGCAAACCTGTCTTAAAGATACCAGGACGGAAGGCAGGTATCCAATGCCAGCTGTAAAGCCAGTTTAGGTTGACTGTATCTGTATCTGCCTCATTGTTTTGTCTACTTTGATGACAACATAGTCGTGTTGAAATGCTCTAGCTCCCTTTTGTACCCTGGGTATTTGCTGTTCTTGACCTAAGAAGCGTCTGTTTCAGCTGCATTTTGCCAAAAGATGTTTGGAGAACCTTGTTTCAAGTGAAACAGAGTTAAGTCAAACCAGTTTGTATTGTGATTCAGTTTTAATCAAATGTGAGCCTGAATAATGCTCTCAGATTAATGCCTCAACCCTCATGTTTTTCCAGAGGTGTCGACTGGAGTTACATGACTCAGACTCAAGTCAGACTCAAGTCACAAATTTGATGAATTTAGACTAGATATGATAAAATCGCCAAAGACCTCTGCAACTCAACTTGGATTTAACACCAGTGACTTGAGGCTTTGCTTGGACTTTTTGACTTGGGATGACTTAATGTCCTCTCTGTCCCTCCCTAAACATTAACATTTATGCCATAAAAAGTGTGCCCTGAATCTCCTGACAATGGTTACAGTGAATAGTTACCAAGATATGTATGAAAGTCCACTATCAAATGAAGACCTTAAAACGTTCAGATCGGCAGATTTTTTGTTTTTTTAAATTTATTTTTGTCTTTGTGCAGTTTAAAAGACACTAGTTTAAGTGAGTCCTCTGATTGCAGATCATATCAGCTGTTAAAAGTACCTTAACAGGGACCCCTGCAGCTGAAGCTGAGTGGGAGCACTCAGGAGTAACAGGAGACCAAAACTTGAGTGCTCTTTTCTGGGAAAAAGCAACGGGCCGACTACAAAGTACCAATCTGTAATCAGAAAAATATGTATGCATGAAAACGGCCTCAAGTAGAAGCCGGGGGTGGGGAGGATTTTAGATGAATCATACCAAAAAAAAGGAAAAAAAAAAAGCTGTTTGGGGAAATACAGTTTTGCGACAGCTGCCTGACTTTCCTTCTGACCAACTCTGCCGGCCTTATGCGACATCAGGGAGCTGTTTGACAAGGAGTGGCTCGTCATACAAATGTTCGGCCTCAGCTCATCCGCCAGGATGTTTGTGGTTTTATTACAGTCTTGCAGCAAGGAGGATTTCAACAGGGCTATCAATGATTTATCATCGAGAGACAACGGAAACAAACAAATAGATCCCCCCTATGATTTACTGTAACACAGTGAACGCTCACATTTCACTCGTATGAAGGAACCTTGTTTATTTATGTAAATGGGTGGCTTCCCAGTGAGCCTCTGGATGTAAAATGTAAAAGCACATTACCTATAATGCTCTCTGTGCACTCAGACTGTAAGACATGAGAAGCTTCCTTACAAGCTGCACAGATTTAAAGTGCACACGTGTGGAAGATCTGGACCGACGTTTTATTGTTTACCACATCACAAAATCATTCTCTCAGTGCAAACACTTTTGTAATATGACAAATGTCTTTGTGCTGTGTCTGCATCTGAGGTGAGGAAACACTGTGCTTTCATCTGCATTCTGTAGGTGATCACAAAAACATAACTGCTCAGTGATCAGAGCCGGCTTCAACGTCGTGTTTAACTTCTTGCTTCTTGTGGGTCACCACCATAAGCAGGATAATCAGCTTGATGCTACATACGTCTCAGACTCGTTTGCTAACGACCCATCTCTAGCACAATAGGAGTTAATTACATCCTCAAATGATTCCGCACACTAAGGCTAATGGCTAACAGAGATAACCGATCTGTC